GTTCGAGAGGATGCTTGAAGTTAGCCATTGAAGATGGAGATTTTGAAAGCTTTAAGGAAGATCACATTTGCATATAGGCATATATATTTTGTATAAACCTTGGGACTTGTACATGATCTATGTGTTGTATATTTGCATGAGAATTTGAGGGCTGATTTGGTCATGTCACCATGGGTTGTAATATAAGTATCGCTATACGTTTTTATCTTTTTGGGGTGTGTAAACCCAAGTCTTGTAATATACTAAATTTACTATTTGTTTCGAATGTTTGTGTGAAGCATGAGCAGGCTGATTTCTGTACTCGGAAGCTTGTAATATTCTTGTTATTTCATCCTTGAGTGTGAGAATAATATATATACATGAAAAGCTCGTCGGTTATTTGCTTAGATTACTTTTCAGAGGTTATTATGAATCTAATCCCTCTACTAGATTATAATCAGTATGCCCTCGTTAATCGCTTACTGAATGTCGCAAGTATAAGTTAGGTCTCTTTAGAAAGGGTCGCTACAGATAATGAGCCCATACAGCCCTTAAAATAATGTGTATCACCACACCCTTCTTCTCTGCCCAATACATACATTATATATCCTTTTCCAAGATTACCCCAAGTTTGCACCAACCACAATACACATAAAACAACCTCAAATATTCTTTATCATACAACCAATTATTGAACTCACCACCCCCTTGAGTTCTTTTATGACAGCACACCCATAATTTCTCACTCAAACTCATACATAAGGAGGAAGAAATGGAGCAGTCACCTTACCTCAATTTCTGCAACTTCTCCTTGTAACTTGAATTCCTCTAGAACTTCAACTTCCCTTCACACTTAAACCAAAGAAGAAGAGAAAAGTATCTTAATAATTAAGGAAAGTGAGAAGTAGATTGTGGGAATTTCTGTCTTCTACTTATAATTGAGCATGAATAACATGTTTTCTAGTCTTCCATGGGAGAATCAAGCTAAATCCATAAGTGTTTTTCTTACCTTGGTTTGCAGATATGAGGATTTCTTCAAGAACCCTATAAGGAACTTTAAGGCTGTTGTTTTAATACTTAAGAGAAAAGAGAGAGAGAGAGCTAGAGTTAATTCTCAATATTGTGTGTTAAAAATTGAGTGAGAATAGCAGTCAATATATCTTATATTGAGCTTTTTTTACCTTTAAGAATATCCTCTAGAACCTCCCTTTTTTTGGTCCATTTTCAGCCACTAATTGGTCAAGTAGGTGATGCACCTGCTTATGTACATCAAGAAGCTCAAAAGGTCAAACTAGGTGATGCACCTGCTTGCTTTCACTTGGGCTTAAATATATTAGGCCTTGGCAGATTTGGCTGTTGAGCTTTAATTTCATTTTCATTTTATTTAACTTAGTTTGGGCCTCAAGTGAGTCCATTAGCATAGGACCAAATCTGATCCATAAACCTTGGCCTTTTAAACTAGATCCATATAGATCAAGTAGGTGATGCACCTACTTAGTCCTTTGGTCTGGTCAATAAGTCAAAGTAGGTGATGCACCTGCTTGTCACCAAGCTTAGTTAAGTCAAGCAAGCAGCTCACCTATTTTAATCTATTTTCTAATTATTAATCTATTTTTCTTTAACGTAGCACTTAACTTTCA